ATCAAGTATGGATTATTATAATATATGTAGTAAGATGTTAAAAGCCTCGATCGAGTTGTTAACACCAGGTCTCACAATTTTGTTTAACAAATGTCTAGAGGAAGGTACATGGCCTGATGCCCTGAAGGTATCTAAAATCATTCCGGTTCATAAGAAAGGCGATAGGGATGAACCAGATAACTACAGACCGATTGCCATCGTACCTGCAATAGGCAAAATATTAGAGATAATAATCAAGGATAAGCTAGTCTCTTATTTTGAGAGCAAATCCTTACTATCCGACTCCCAATATGGGTTTCGTAAAAATAAATCTACTGTGAAAGCACTGGTTAATCTAGTGCAGAAAATATCAGAAAATATGGATGATAGACTCAGCTCAACCGCTATCATGTGTGATCTATCAAAAGCTTTTGATTGTGTTTCGACTGAGATATTGCTAGAAAAATTAGAATTTTATGGAGTTCGAGGGAAACAATTAGCCCTAATCAGTTCATATCTCACGAACCGGATGCAAAGTGTCAGTGCAAATAATATAAATTCCAATTTATTGTCAATTCGTAATGGGGTTCCACAAGGATCCGTTTTGGGCCCCATTCTATTTATTATTTATATAAACGATCTACCAGCAGCTTTGGACGGAAATTGCATCTTGTTTGCTGATGATACCACCATCATGTCGGATAGCAGGGATTTTGATCTCGAGCGGAAGTACAGAAAAGCTAAAAACTGGTTTTCTAGCAATTGTCTAAGTCTAAATGAGTCAAAAACTCAGCACATTACTTTTAATGTGGACAAGTGGGCTACACAATCAAATCCTGTTTGCCTTCTGGGAGTTGACTTGGACTCGATTTTAAACTGGAAACCGCATATAAATAAAGTGTGCAGAAATTTGGCTTCCCAAATATTTGTAATGAGAAGACTAAGGGGTTGTTTGAGCACTGAGGTATTAAAATCAGTGTATTTCTCCCTAGTACACAGTCTCCTTAAATACGCGATATTGCTTTGGGGAAATTCAACTCATTCATATAGGGCATTCAGTATTCAAAAAAAAGCAATACGCATCTTGGCCAAAGTTCCTTTTGGAACTCACTGTCGCCCACTATTTAAAAAACTTAAAGTAATGCCATTGCCCACGATGTACATTTACGAGACGCTATTAGAAATACATAATAATAAATCATCGTATATATTACACTCTGATATGCATAAATATGGAACACGATATGCACATAACATGATACCTCAGTACTCAAGACTCGCAACAACAAAAAATAACAAAATCGATGTAAACATATATAATCTATTTGTTAATAAGTTCAAAGACAAAGATTTTAAAAATATGGGAAACTTTACATTTTCAAAATTAGCAAAAACTTACTTGCTAGAACATTGTTTCTATTCTATATACGAGTTCTTAAACCACTAATAAGATAATCAATCACTGTTCACAAAAATATGCCAATAAGTACCTGTAACCCTATATTTAATTTTTTTTTATGTTTAAGTTTTATATCTAGTCTAAGTTTTTTAAATGTTATTCATTATATTATTTTATTTTAACATTTTACATAATATTTAGTATCTTACAAACTTATAACTAACAATATATTTTTTTAGCTATGTAAGATTTATTATACTGACTAAAAATGTATCCAATTTTGTACATCCTAAAGGTCAATAAACAGTATGAGTATTATTATTATTATTATTATTATTATTATTATTATTATTATTATTATTATTATTATTATTATTATTATTATTATTATTATTATTATTATTATTATTATTATTATTATTATTATTATTATTATTATTATTATTATTATTATTATTATTATTATTATTATTATTATTATTATTATTATTATTATTATTATTATTATTATTATTATTATTATTATTATTATTATTATTATTATTATTATTATTATTATTATTATTATTATTATTATTATTATTATTATTATTATTATTATTATTATTATTATTATTATTATTATTATTATTATTATTATTATTATTATTAATATTATTATTATTATTATTATTATTATTATTATTATTATTAATATTATTATTATTATAATTATTATTATTATTATTATTATTATTATTATTATTATTTTTTTTTTTTTTTTTTTTTTTTTTTATTTGGTGTCATCGGCGTCGACTACTATGGCCATTAGCCTCGTGTTCTGTGTAGGCTTTGTTACTGTTTCCCAGCGCCACTTTAGGAATAGCACTGTTAATTAGAACCCAACAGTGAATGGTCGAGTGGGGAATCCTACCTATGCATAAGAATTAATATTTAATTTTTTAATTAAATAAAAATTCCTGCCACCGGTGGGATTCGATCCTGAGATCTTCCGATCTCAGAGTCATGACTCTAACCACTGAGCCAACCCACCCCCCATATTATTATTATTATTATTATTATTATTATTATTATTATTATTATTATTATTATTATTATTATTATTATTATTATTATTATTATTATTATTATTATTATTATTATTATTATTATTATTATTATTATTATTATTATTATTATTAATATTATTATTATTATTATTATTATTATTATTATTATTATTATTATTATTATTATTATTATTATTATTATTATTATTATTATTATTATTATGCGATCTGACTAAGGCCTTCGATTGCGTAAACATAGATATTTTATGTAGTAAATTGGAGTTTTATGGATTAAGAAATAAGGAACTCAACCTGTTCAGATCCTATTTGGAGGATAGGAAACAATACGTGAGCTACCAGAACCTTGACTCCCTCTTAGTCAGAGTCAAGAGTGGAGTACCTCAGGGTTCAATTTTGGGCCCATTATTGTTTATTTTGTACGTAAATGATTTACCCAAATCAGTTAATGAGAGGAGTCAAGTCATTCTGTACGCTGACGACACTACTTTGCTGACTAAAGGTGAAGAGTGCATGAGTACAGCAAACCTAAATTTGGCGAAGGATTGGTTTACGGCAAATAAATTGAAACTTAATAACAGTAAGACACAAAATATACTTTTCAGTTCTGATAAATGTGCCGCAAAGTCTGAACCAGTTAAATTATTAGGCGTTACCTTTGATACTGCACTTACGTGGGTTGATCATATAGAGAGGCTGTGTTCAAGACTTTCCACTCAAATATTTGTATTACGCCAACTACAAGGTTCTATAAGCAGTAACAATGTCATGTGCACAATTTACTTTGCAATTGTACATAGTCACCTCTCTTATGGCATCACACTATGGGGTAGAGCCAATGGTACCCACAGAGTCTTTACTTTACAAAAGGCTGCTGTGCGCATCATTGATGCTGCCAGAAACAGAGTGCATTGTAAAGAGCTGTTTAAAAAGTACAAGGTTCTTCCGCTTCCATGTATTTACTTACATATTTGAAACCTTAACTATGATTCATCGGGATGTTTCTATGAGGACCAAACATTGCGATGAACATAGTTACAATACGAGAGGGGCAGAAAACCTTGTAGTACCATTTTCTAGATTAAAAGTGTCAGAAATAAATAAGCTCGACGTAAATCTCTACAACAAATTAGCTACAATTGTTGACATTAAAAAATTAAATCAAAAACAGTTCCACAAACATGTTAAAGCATTTTTACTAGAGCACTGCTTCTACAGCATTCAAGAATATTTGAACTTCTATTAAAAAAAGTCATATTTTGTATCTTAAATTTGTGTATTTAAACTATTTTATATATTTTTTATACTTTTACTTCTATGTTATTTTAACCTATTTCTATGTAATTTTACTCAATGTAATTGTAATTTATTTTTATAACTAATTTTAATGTATTTATTTATACTTTTGCTTAATATTTGGACTTCAAAAATACCTGTATATTTCAAAGTGGTCAATAAACTTATCGTATCGTATCGTATTATTATTATTATTATTATTATAATTATTATTATTATTATTATTATTATTATTATTATTATTATTATTATTATTATTATTATTATTATTATTATTATTATTATTATTATTATTATTATTATTATTATTATTATTATTATTATTATTATTATTATTATTATTATTATTATTATTATTATTATTATTATTATTATTATTATTATTATTATTATTATTATTATTATTATTATTATTATTATTATTATTATTATTATTATTATTATTATTATTATTATTATTATTATTATTATTATTATTATTATTATTATTATTATTATTATTATTATTATTATTATTATTATTATTATTATTATTATTATTATTATTATTATTATTATTATTATTATTATTATTATTATTATTATTATTATTATTATTATTATTATTATTATTATTATTATTATTATTATTATTATTATTATTATTATTATTATTATTATTATTATTATTATTATTATTATTATTATTATTATTATTATTATTATTATTATTATTATTATTATTATTATTATTATTATTATTATTATTATTATTATTATTATTATTATTATTATTATTATTATTATTATTATTATTATTATTATTATTATTATTATTATTATTATTATTATTATTATTATTATTATTATTATTATTATTATTATTATTATTATTATTATTATTATGGTGGAATGGTTTGTTGGCCAAGTAAGGTGTGATTTTAAACTGTGAACGTGTTGTGCATAAAACTTGGGTTTAAACCAAAATTAATTTTGTTTGTACATGTGATTCTAATTATAAGTGTATGTTAAACTCACGTAAGTGTTTGCAACACTTTTTATCATCTTATAAGGAGAAAAGCATTAATTTACCTTCGTTTGCTTAGAGTGCCTAGTATAAAAACTGTAGTTTTTGCTTTATTTACATCGACTACCTAGGTTCATTCCACCACGGCATACAATTTGTATTAAGATTATTCGAACTTTTAACTGAAAATTCGTTTATTTTGCTAATTCGTCTAAAGTATTTGTATACTACAATAGATTTAACGGTAAAAACCATGACTAAAAATAATCCAGATGCTGCGAGTAGTGACCAATGTGCTAGATGCCGTAAGTTTCCAACTGAGATATCCAAATGTTCAAAATGTTCAAAATGTGATTCCTATTATCATAATGGTTGTTTGAAACAATTGAAAAATATAAAATACCTTAAGGACGGAACAATTATATGCTGTTCTGATAATGAAACAACTATTAAAGACTCTGAATCAGCTTCAAGTCCGAATGAACAAACGGAAAATTCTGCCAGCGTTGCAGACAAACTAACGATAAGATATCTTGAGGAAATTATGAAACAAAAAGAAATAATTATAAAGCAACAAGATCAGACAATCCAAGCGCTAAAAGACCAAATAATACTTATGAAACAAGTGGCGTCTCAAATTACAATATCACCAAAGATATCTGCATCTACCCATAAGCACACTATTCCTGTCACGAATACTAATAATTTACATGTTAAAAATAGCAATCAGTTAGTTGATAATGGAAATAATTCAATGGAGTCATATCAAATAAGACAGTCGATGAATCAACATCAAATAACTAGTAAATCAGTCGCTGGTGCTGTACATGGTGCAGAATCTCTTCAGATATGTCAGGATATAATTAATCTTGAGCGCCCTACGCCTATGACGAGAAGGAGCATCCTGATAGGAAAAAACGAAAATTCTACAAACTTTCCTTTTAAAGCAGCTCGTCGGAATATTAGCAATGAAAAACACTACCATGTTACCAACCTTGAACCAGAAATCGACACTACCAAATTGTCAGACTACTTGAAAAAATTTGCACCAAATATTCAAGTGCAAAAACTAAATTCGAGACAACCGGAAGTTTATTCATCAGTCAAAATTACGGTACCATCAGACGAATCGGACAAAATTTTGAACAGTGAAGTGTGGCCTAGCTACGTGGTACTAAATCATTTTTTTCGTCCTAGACAATTCTATGGAAACGAAAAACAACAACATATCAATCAAGGAGGTGTCAGAGAGTTCTGAAAATAGTATGAAAAACGAAAAATTAGTTTCACTTTTGCATTTAAATATTTGTAGCTTAAATAGCAAATTAGATGAGCTTCGTATATATCTAGAATATAATGATTATGATATTGTGTGCATCTCTGAACACTGGCTTGATAGACAAAGCTTATGTATGGTCAATATTTGTAACTATGTTTTGACTTCAGATTTCTGTCGTTCAGAAAATAATGCACACGGTGGTGTAGCAATATTTGTAAAGAATGTGTTAAAATTCAAAAATGTAAATGTACAAAATTTCACTATACCTATTCATGCAGAATTTTGTGCAACTGAAGTGATTAATTCGAACACCGTAGTAGTAACTCTGTATAGATCGTGTACCTCTGGTAATATAAATATTTTTATTAGGCAATTTGAAATGCTTATCGATTTTTTAATTAGTAGATATAAAAATATCTGTTTACTTGGTGATTATAATATTGATTTCACAAATTCTGAAAATGGACATGTTAGCCAGTTAAACAATATTTTGGATTCATATGGTTTATCTTATTGTATTACCGAACCTACCAGAATCTCTGCTACGAAAAAGAGTAAGTTAGATAACATAGTTACAAATGTTAACCCTAAGTTGTTTAATTCTGGAGTTTGTGACCCTGATCTGTCCGATCATTTGGCACAATTTATTAAAATTAATTTGTCTAATAATATAAACATTAAAAATATACATGAACAAAGAAGAATCATTTCAAAAAAAAATATTGATAAATTTACTGCAAATCTTACAGATATTGGATTAAAATTTGGTGAAATAGATACATTAAATAGCAATGATTTGACAGACCGGTTACTTAATATACTTGCTGAAGAAATAAATAACTGTTTTCCTGTAAAATATAACAAAACTAGTAAAAATAAAATCTGTTGGTTTACTTCGAGTCTACGCAAACTCAGGAGGCAAACATTTCAAGCAAAAAACATATTTAAAAGAACAAATTTGAGAACTGATTGGGACCACTACATATATTTAAAAAATAAATACAGACAAACCTTAAGATCGGAAAAAAGAAAGTCCTATGCAAATACGATAGCAACGTCAAACAACAAAGCCAAATCTAGTTGGAAGATTATAAATTCCGAAAGGGGTAATAGTAATAAAACGAAAACCGTATCCTCTATCACATCTGATGAATACAATGTATTTTTTACATCAGTTGCAGATGGCATAATTAGTGCTATTGGTAATAATAATGTGAGTCCTAAACAATTTTTACACACAATTCCAAAACCTACGTGTTCTTTTTTCATGACTGCCATCATAGAAAGCGATGTTAAGCAAGCGATATTAAAACTAAAAAATTCATCAAGTATGGATTATTATAATATATGTAGTAAGATGTTAAAAGCCTCGATCGAGTTGTTAACACCAGGTCTCACAATTTTGTTTAACAAATGTCTAGAGGAAGGTACATGGCCTGATGCCCTGAAGGTATCTAAAATCATTCCGGTTCATAAGAAAGGCGATAGGGATGAACCAGATAACTACAGACCGATTGCCATCGTACCTGCAATAGGCAAAATATTAGAGATAATAATCAAGGATAAGCTAGTCTCTTATTTTGAGAGCAAATCCTTACTATCCGACTCCCAATATGGGTTTCGTAAAAATAAATCTACTGTGAAAGCACTGGTTAATCTAGTGCAGAAAATATCAGAAAATATGGATGATAGACTCAGCTCAACCGCTATCATGTGTGATCTATCAAAAGCTTTTGATTGTGTTTCGACTGAGATATTGCTAGAAAAATTAGAATTTTATGGAGTTCGAGGGAAACAATTAGCCCTAATCAGTTCATATCTCACGAACCGGATGCAAAGTGTCAGTGCAAATAATATAAATTCCAATTTATTGTCAATTCGTAATGGGGTTCCACAAGGATCCGTTTTGGGCCCCATTCTATTTATTATTTATATAAACGATCTACCAGCAGCTTTGGACGGAAATTGCATCTTGTTTGCTGATGATACCACCATCATGTCGGATAGCAGGGATTTTGATCTCGAGCGGAAGTACAGAAAAGCTAAAAACTGGTTTTCTAGCAATTGTCTAAGTCTAAATGAGTCAAAAACTCAGCACATTACTTTTAATGTGGACAAGTGGGCTACACAATCAAATCCTGTTTGCCTTCTGGGAGTTGACTTGGACTCGATTTTAAACTGGAAACCGCATATAAATAAAGTGTGCAGAAATTTGGCTTCCCAAATATTTGTAATGAGAAGACTAAGGGGTTGTTTGAGCACTGAGGTATTAAAATCAGTGTATTTCTCCCTAGTACACAGTCTCCTTAAATACACGATATTGCTTTGGGGAAATTCAACTCATTCATATAGGGCATTCAGTATTCAAAAAAAAGCAATACGCATCTTGGCCAAAGTTCCTTTTGGAACTCACTGTCGCCCACTATTTAAAAAACTTAAAGTAATGCCATTGCCCACGATGTACATTTACGAGACGCTATTAGAAATACATAATAATAAATCATCGTATATATTACACTCTGATATGCATAAATATGGAACACGATATGCACATAACATGATACCTCAGTACTCAAGACTCGCAACAACAAAAAATAACAAAATCGATGTAAACATATATAATCTATTTGTTAATAAGTTCAAAGACAAAGATTTTAAAAATATGGGAAACTTTACATTTTCAAAATTAGCAAAAACTTACTTGCTAGAACATTGTTTCTATTCTATATACGAGTTCTTAAACCACTAATAAGATAATCAATCACTGTTCACAAAAATATGCTAATAAGTACCTGTAACCCTATATTTAATTTTTTTTTATGTTTAAGTTTTATATCTAGTCTAAGTTTTTTAAATGTTATTCATTATATTATTTTATTTTAACATTTTACATAATATTTAGTATCTTACAAACTTATAACTAACAATATATTTTTTTAGCTATGTAAGATTTATTATACTGACTAAAAATGTATCCAATTTTGTACATCCTAAAGGTCAATAAACAGTATGAGTATGAGTATTATTATTATTATTATTATTATTATTATTATTATTATTATTATTATTATTATTATTATTATTATTATTATTATTATTATTATTATTATTATTATTATTATTATTATTATTATTATTATTATTATTATTATTATTATTATTATTATTATTATTATTATTATTATTATTATTTATTATTATTATTATTATTATTATTATTATTATTATTATTATTATTATTATTATTATTATTATTATTATTATTATTATTATTATTATTATTATTATTATTATTATTATTATTATTATTATTATTATTATTATTATTATTATTATTATTATTATTATTATTATTATTATTATTATTATTATTATTATTATTATTATTATTATTATTATTATTATTATTATTATTATTATTATTATTATTATTATTATTATTATTATTATTATTATTATTATTATTATTATTATTATTATTATTATTATTATTATTATTATTATTATTATTATTATTATTATTATTATTATTATTATTATTATTATTATTATTATTATTATTATTATTATTATTATTATTATTATTATTATTATTATTATTATTATTATTATTATTATTATTATTATTATTATTATTATTATTATTATTATTATTATTATTATTATTATTATTATTATTATTATTATTATTATTATTATTATTATTATTATTATTATTATTATTATTATTATTATTATTATTATTATTATTATTATTATTATTATTATTATTATTATTATTATTATTATTATTATTATTATTATTATTATTATTATTATTATTATTATTATTATTATTATTATTATTATTATTATTATTATTATTATTATTATTATTATTATTATTATTATTATTATTATTATTATTATTATTATTATTATTATTATTATTATTATTATTATTATTATTATTATTATTATTATTATTATTATTATTATTATTATTATTATTATTATTATTATTATTATTATTATTATTATTATTATTATTATTATTATTATTATTATTATTATTATTATTATTATTATTATTATTATTATTATTATTATTATTATTATTATTATTATTATTATTATTATTATTATTATTATTATTATTATTATTATTATTATTATTATTATTATTATTATTATTATTATTATTATTATTATTATTATTATTATTATTATTATTATTATTATTATTATTATTATTATTATTATTATTATTATTATTATTATTATTATTATTATTATTATTATTATTATTATTATTATTATTATTATTATTATTATTATTATTATTATTATTATTATTATTATTATTATTATTATTATTATTATTATTATTATTATTATTATTATTATTATTATTATTATTATTATTATTATTATTATTATTATTATTATTATTATTATTATTATTATTATTATTATTATTATTATTATTATTATTATTATTATTATTATTATTATTATTATTATTATTATTATTATTATTATTATTATTATTATTATTATTATTATTATTATTATTATTATTATTATTATTATTATTATTATTATTATTATTATTATTATTATTATTATTATTATTATTATTATTATTATTATTATTATTATTATTATTATTATTATTATTATTATTATTATTATTATTATTATTATTATTATTATTATTATTATTATTATTATTATTATTATTATTATTATTATTATTATTATTATTATTATTATTATTATTATTATTATTATTATTATTATTATTATTATTATTATTATTATTATTATTATTATTATTATTATTATTATTATTATTATTATTATTATTATTATTATTATTATTATTATTATTATTATTATTATTATTATTATTATTATTATTATTATTATTATTATTATTATTATTATTATTATTATTATTATTATTATTATTATTATTATTATTATTATTATTATTATTATTATTATTATTATTATTATTATTATTATTATTATTATTATTATTATTATTATTATTATTATTATTATTATTATTATTATTATTATTATTATTATTATTATTATTATTATTATTATTATTATTATTATTATTATTATTATTATTATTATTATTATTATTATTATTATTATTATTATTATTATTATTATTATTATTATTATTATTATTATTATTATTATTATTATTATTATTATTATTATTATTATTATTATTATGGTGGAATAGTCTCCCACAAGTAACACGTAGTTAAAATCGCTGCAGCAAACATCGTTCAAATATCGGGTTTTTGGACTCGGAAAATTATAAATTTGTGTTTAGAACAGTGTTAAATGTAATTTGTATATGTGAAAGTGTTTGTGTCCTGTTTTAACTGCTTTTCACTACAAAAAACAGCGAAAGTTTGCTTTTGGATTATATTTGTGTATTCTTCTCTGGTGATTCTACAGTGTTAGTGCAATTTTTCATCGTCAACTAAGTGAAAAACGTGTATTCGTTGGATTCTTGTGAGTACAAAAACAATCAAAACATATCGATTTAGGCTAATTGGCTTGTTCATTCCACCAAAATTTTAAATTTGCTTTGCTTTGCTTTGCGACAGTTTCTAATTAAATTATTTACATATTTATTCTAAGGTGACTGAAAGTTTGTGTATCTAAATGGCAAACAAAAATGGAAATAGCTCAGAGAATACAAACCGTTGTAAAAGGTGTAAAAATCCTGCCAAAACAGGATTACGTTGCATAACTTGTGGAACAGTTTCTCATGTTAGCTGTATACCAGGTTTGAAAAATGTAATACAGATTGACAGTCAAACAATAAATTGCTGTGTTGGCACTACTGAAAATTCGTCGGATTTAATGTCTCCAAATCCATCTATAAACCCAGCTAAAAACTCTATTGATGAAATTCGAATTACATATCTTGAGGAAATCATCCGGCAAAAAGATTTAGTGATCACAAATCAAGAAATCGCTATTAAGTCATTGCAGTCACAAATAGAGTTAATACAAAATCAGGCATCATTCCATTCCCAAAATAGTAAATACTTAAATGAATATACTAGCATCAATGTCAACCAAAGTAGAAATGATGCTCAGAGCTCATCTCGTCAAGGACCTAGTTGGCCAGCCAGTAATCTAAATTCGAAACACGTTTCAGCTGCCATACATGAAGCAAAAACATCTAGTGTATGTGCAGACATTATAAATTTAAATAAAACCAATCAATCCATAAAACCAAATTTTAGAAGTTACCCAAAACCAAAAAGTTTATTAGTTGGATCAATGCGTAATGATGATCAAAACTTAAAAGCAGCTAATGTTTCTACCGATATTACCTTTTACCATTCGACAAATTGGAATCCGAACACAGTAGCCGATGATGTGAGGAATCATCTAAAAAATATTGATGATGAAGTCAAGGTTGAACAATTGAAATCTAGACAGCCCCAACTCTATGCATCTTTCAAGATTATTGTACCCTCTACTTCCGCACAGAAGCTACTAAATACAGAAATTTGGCCGGAAGGTGTTTATTTAAATGAGTTTTTTCGGTACAGAAGACAGTACCAGGCAAATCAAGATACCACGAATGAACAATAATAATATTAAAGAACAAGGAACGATAACATCAGCTGATCTGACTTTTTCACTGTTACATGTCAATGTCCGAAGTTTAACTAATAAGCTAGATATCTTACGAATTTATACAAATACGAATCAAATAAATATTTTATGTTTCTCAGAACACTGGCTAACGTCGGAAAACTTAACAGTGATCAACCTAAATAATTATGTTCTAATATCTGCTTTTTGTAGAGATTCAGGAGAACATGGAGGCGTAGCTATTTTTTCAAATTCCAAAGTTCCTCTTAAATGTATTGACATCTCAGCATTTAGTATTCCAATACATGCTGAGTTTTGTGGTGCAGAAATTATTAATAAAAATACTGCTATAATAACGCTGTACAGATCATCTTCCAATGATAATATAGATATTTTTATAAATTCATTTATGTCTTTAATACATTTTTTGTATAAAAAATATAGAAAAATTATTATAACGGGTGATATTAACTTGGACCTTGACAGTAACAGTGTAAGTTCTGTTAAACTAGGTAACGCCTTATCATCTTTTGGTTTGACACATTTTGTGCACACACCTACGAGGATAACTCCTACCTCTAGATCCTGCTTGGATAACTTTATTTCAAATATTGATGAAACTGATATATCTGTAAATGTAATTGACTTAGATATAGCTGACCATTTTGCTATTTTATCCCATATAAATAATATAATAACCCCATCTAAGGATGAAAGCTTCACCAAAAGAATTATTAATAATTATAATCTTATCAATTTTGGAAAAATCTTATCTGAGTTTGATTGGGATGGTATTAACTTAGATAATATGTATTGTAGGGACCAGTGCGCCAAGATTTTGGACGTTTTGAGCAAACATGTCGAGTCTTGCTTCCCTATTAAAGTAATTAAAAATTCAATTAAAAGTATTGGTTGGTTTAGCGAGAGCCTTAAGCAACAAAGAAGGCAGGTATTTAAACAAAAAAGTGTATTTAGACGAACCAATAAGTTGGAAGATTGGGTGAGTTATTGTAATTTAAAAAACAATTATAGACGATCACTCAGACTCGAGAAAGGCCAATCATATTCAGACCGCATTTCTAATTCTGAAAACAAAATGAAAACTATTTGGAATTTAGTTAACAATGAAAGAAAACCTATTAGAAATAAGATTGTTTCTTCTGATATATCTGCAGAGGGATTCAATTCTTTCTTTGTTTCCATCGCTGATAAGATAAGTCAGACTTTAGAAGTTAGTAACATTTGCGCCTTGGATTTCCTTAATAAAATCAAAAAACCTTCCTACTCTTTTTGTCTGTTCGAAATCGTAGAGGGTGATGTCAGGAAAGCTATTTCAAGTTTGAAAAATTCTACATGTCTGGATTATTATGGACTCAGTAGTCCTATGATTAAAGCTGCTGTTGACTCGCTTGCCTTACCACTTGTAAGATTATATAATGCTTGTATTTCCGAAGGCATTTGGCCTGAGCAACTAAAAATTAATAAAGTTTAAGAAAGGTGATATAAGCGCAAAAGACAATTACAGGCCTATTGCTATAGTTCCAATCATTGGCAAAATCTTTGAAATTATCCTAAAGGAAAATGTTTTAAGCTACTTCGAAAATAAAAAAATATTTTCATCCGCTCAATTTGGCTTTCGAAAAGACAGATCCACTATTCATGCCATAGTTGAGATCATTGATTACATTGTTGAAGGCTTTGACGATAGTAAAAACACCATTGCAACACTATGTGATCTCACCAAGGCATTCGATTGTGTAAGCATTGACATTCTGTTGTCGAAATTAGAATTTTATGGAGTAAGAAAAAAAGAATTAAATCTGTTCTCATCATATTTAACAAATAGAACGCAATATGTATCATACAATAACAGAGATACTGAATTGGCACCTATTTTAAAAGGTGTCCCTCAGGGCTCTGTTTTGGGACCACTATTGTTTTTAATATACATAAATGACTTGCCTAATGCTATTGATGACGGACCATGTATCTTATTTGCCGATGACACTACTCTTTTAGTAAGGGATACAAGTGGTACGAGTAAAAAATCCATGGACAAAGCTAAATCCTGGTTTAGCTCAAACAAGCTTAAGCTCAATGAACAGAAAACACAAGAAATTAGGTTTACTTCTAGTAAATTAATTAAGCTGTCTGAACCAGTTAGGTTACTGGGAATAAATTTGGACTCAAACTTAAACTGGCACTCTCATATTGACCATGTCTGCTCAAAATTGTCGTCCCAAATTTTTGCGCTCCGGCAGCTTAGATTATGCTTGGACAACTATGTTTTAAAAAATGTATACTTTGCCATAATACATAGTCACTTAATGTATGGTATCATATTATGGGGTGAAAATTACAAGGCACAAAATGTTTTCCATCTTCAAAAGACTGCCGTACGGCTGATTGAGGATGCAGAATATAATGCGCCTTGTAAGATTATATTTAAAAGGAATAAGATACTACCACTTCCTTGTATATACATATTAGAGACATTAGCTAGTATACACAAAAAACGACATCTTTTGGATTCCCACTCAAACCAACATAATTACAATACAAGGAATGCCGAGGGTCTTGTTCCTTTTAAATCTAGAATTTGTTGCAGTCAAAATAACAAACTAAATATAAATTTGTACAACCTTGTGTTAAAGCACTATAAAAATTTAAAGCTTAAAGAAATGTCTTGCAACAAATTCTACAATTATATGAAAAAAATACTCTTAGAGGAATGTTTCTATAGCGTTCTGGAATTTAAAGAGTTTATGAATAAAATGTCCAGTTAGTTACTTTTACTTTTAGATTCTTATATTTTAATATGTTTGTTGTCCTATTTGTGTCATGTTTAAACATTTTAAATTTAAAAATCGGTATTTTACTTATTTCTATGTATTGCTTTAATTTTTAATTTTTAACTTTTTTAATTTTATACTTTGACTTTTAATCTTATTTGAACTATTTACATATTTTTGTACTGACTATAACTATGCTTTGTATGGAATGTCAATAAACTATCTATCTATCTATCTATCTATCTATCTATCTATCTATTATTATTATTATTATTATTATTATTATTATTATTATTATTATTATTATTATTATTATTATTATTATTATTATTATTATTATTATTATTATTATTATTATTATTATTATTATTATTATTATTATTATTATTATTATTATTATTATTATTATTATTATTATTATTATTATTATTATTATTATTATTATTATTATTATTATTATTATTATTATTATTATTATTATTATTATTATTATTATTATTATTATTATTATTATTATTATTATTATTATTATTATTATTATTATTATTATTATTATTATTATTATTATTATTATTATTATTATTATTATTATTATTATTATTATTATTATTATTATTATTATTATTATTATTATTATTATTATTATTATTATTATTATTATTATTATTATTATTATTATTATTATTATTATTATTATTATTATTATTATTATTATTATTATTATTATTATTATTTATTATTATTATGAAAATAGTATAAGAGTTATTAGTTAATGTGTAAAAGTGCGTTGTTGTGTTTGGAGAAGTTATAACGTTGGTAAAGTACTATTTTTAAATATTTCGTGTACATAAACATTTAATACACATCCAAATTTCATCAACTTTTTATATTGATATGTGTTTTTGTGCTAATTAGTTTGATATTTTTGACTGTCTAGTACAGCAAATTGCACGAGTGATAGTTACTTTAATCCGTTATTATTTTCTTCATGTCTGATTTTGAAAAATTAAGTGACATGAGTGAAAATGGATGTAGGAGATGTAAGGTTGTTGTGAAAACGGGATTAAAGTGTACGGTATGTAGCCGGGTGTCACATAAATGTTGTCTAAAAATACTAAATATTGATGTCGATGCAAAAGATGGTATAATATGTTGCAATGACAGTAACAAGAGTTCTAGTTCCAACACCGATTCAGATTTAAATCAAAATCTCAATTTTAATTCAAATTCAAATCTGCCAGAACCTTCCTATTCCAAATCAGAACATAGCGAGGAATATTCGGCGTTGAAAATCAAATTCTTGGAACAAATGGTAGCTGATAAGGAAATGATAATTCAAAATCAGGGTATAGCTATCAAAGCACTCACCGAGCAAATTGATGTGATGAAATATTCAATGTCTTTAACGAATGTGTCAAATTTTTCTGTGGCTCCTTTAAAACATCAGGCTACTTCTACTGCGGAAAAAAGTCAGTCTGAATATCTGATCCAAAAGGAAAAGACAAATTTAGTTTCTAAGATCTCCGTAAGTAAAGCCATTGAAAATGCTGAAGGACATCGTATATGTTCAAACATTGTAAACCTGAATGGTGATGTTAATCCAATACAATCTGTATCAAATATGTCAAATGAAGCTGAACAAATTTCCTGGAAAAGTTCTAAGGACGAAATCGAAATTCCTAAAAAGTTTAACAACATAAATAAACAAAACCGCAATACCACTACAACAAGTTTACTAGTGGGATCGAGGAGAAATCCTGAAGACAGCACCCTTAAAGCTGCGGTCATCAACGCTACGTCGAAAATGTATACCTATCATGCCTCAAACTTTGCAATAGATGCCTCCGATGTTGAATTAAACTCTCACCTTGCAAAATTTGCACCTAATGTTATGGTTGAAAAGCTAAATGCTCGTTATCCGAATGTTTATGCATCTTTCAAGATCTCAGTACCCATAACTGAATCCCAGGCTATATTGGATAGTAGCATTTGGCCATATGGAGTAGTACTAAACCGTTTTTTTCGATCACGAAGAGTTACTAGATCCATGTTATAATCTATATAACTCAATTAGTTATTATCTGTCCCAAAATAATTTATGCTCGGTATTTCACATTAATATACGAAGTTTAGCTAATAAAGTATTAGAATTAAATCTACTTTTTGAAAATTATTCTTTTGATATAATATGTTTATCAGAACATT